AACTGAGAATCATGTAAATTAGGAGACAGGTGCACTACAAAAACTATGGAAATATACCGGCCATCCCCCAATTATAAATCAAGAGCATCCTCAAAGTTTCTTAACACGTCAGTTACTGAGAATTCTGAGTATTTTTTTCCTGTGAACACAGAGTGAACACTGACTGATTTTCTAAATCCAGGGGGAAATCTCTCCATCCTATAAACACTGATAATTTTTTTTTTTAGAACATTGTCCTTAAAGTGGACTCCACAGACTCCACAGACCCCTGGGCATACTCTAGCAGGCTTCAAGGACAAGTCCATTTTCATATTCTTCTTAAGATGTTACAGGCTTTTCACTGCATGAACTCGAGTGCTAGTAGAGGTTAAAACCACCGGCTGAAGAACTTGGCCCCTGTGGAAAGCAGCCACCCTCCTAACCTGTTTTAAGAGGCCATTAGGAACAGGCTAGTTGACTGCTAACATTCCCTTCGAGGGATCCTTGGCTGGGATTCCAGCAACTCTTCTCAGCCATTTGTGTACAATTTTGCTCAGATAGCCCGTGCCCTCATCACAAGAGGTTCTAGAATACAAAGGCCTGGGAGGTTGATGGAAGTGACCCTCTGTCTATGCAGCCATGCTACAGGAGGGCCGTCGTCCATGCTGTGTGAAAACTGCAGCAGGGCTGCTTTGGGGTAACACTTGAGCCTGTAAACAGCTCCACACCCAGACTCTGTAAATCAGCCCAGTAAACTCATTGGCTCCCCAGACTGAACTTTGGTGGGATCAAACATTTATTGCCCCTTTGGACCTTGTAATAAGGTAGATGCTGTTTAAGTCTCCCCAGGGAAGAAATCTTGGAACACTACTGATTCCTTAGCCCAAACCAGAACAATAGCATAATCTTGATTTAAAGACCGGTGAATTCAGAATTCACATTGCAATTAATCTATGAAAATTATCCCGTGTTAAATTTTGATATAAAAACAAGGAATATCCATAATTGTTTGAAAAGACTACCAAAACATACCTCATTTTCCAATGATATTTCTAGAAAGCTAGGATTTCTTCAAAATTCAACCACATCCATGAACTTGCATAAGTTGTGGGCAAAGGCAAATATAAAAATCCAGAAGACGTCTTCTAGCTCAGACATCACTTTCCATAAAAGACAGTAAATCAATTTTTGCTTCATTGTGTTTTATGGGTGTGATGGTCGATCTCAATTGTCAACTTGATGAGATCTAGAATTAGCTGTGAAACAGGCCATTGGTCAGGCCAGGGAGAAGACCTGTTCACTGTGAACAGCAACAGTCCACGGATGAGGGAAAAGAATCAGGGAATCAACCATCTTAAACGTTTACAGGGAAAAGGTGACCAATCTACCCGGAGCCTCTTTTGCTGTCTGTCTGCCTCCCAGTCCCCAGCCAGCTTCTCTCCCCTGAATTGTCTTTGTCTGAGTGTTTTATCACAGAAACAGGAAATGAAACTAAGACAATGAGGCATGCTGCTTTCCCTCAAAACATTGTTTATGGACTTCCAAGACCCTTTCCATGACTCTGCAAGGGAAAAGAATCGGGAGATAAAAGGCAAACAACATGCTGAAAGAGTGAATGGAAGTGCTCTGAGAATCAACAATGGTGAGTGGAGACCGCCTGAAAGGGCCTGGCAAAGTGGAATCTGGGAAACAAGTCCACAGTCCTGGACAGGGGAGACATTTATAGCTCCTGCAAGCTCTAATCCAGTGCTGGGTTTGGGTCTGAAAGTGACTCCTCCATGGCAGACTACTGTTGGAGAAGAGATCCTTTGTGTTGCTTGAGATATCTCAAGGTGCTATCGATGCATGGAGCATCTCATGAAGGGACCTACTGTTTGGGACAGAGCTACTCTGGGGAAAATCATCACATTCAAGGCCCCTTATTTTTTTCATCACTGTAACCAAATACATAATGATGGGCAACTTATAAAAGGTCATATTTAAATTTATCATCTTTGTTTTCACCACAAACCCTTCTAAGCAATAAGCCTCTTGCCTGCCACAACCTTTAAGTGAGAGACTGCCATGTGGTGTTCGAAGCTATTTCCTCCCAACGTGGCATGATGGCATCTTGGACATTGCCCTAGTAGCCATGGCAATTAGATCAGAACAATACAGTGGTAGCCAGGTGGACAGTAATAGTAATGAAGCTATTCACGTTCTTAGAGGGTAGAAGAAGGGAGGGTCAGGTGCCTCAGAATGATATCCTCCTTCCCACGGGTACAAGTGGTCCTAGGAAATTATAAAATAAACACAAAGTGGAAAGTTATCTGAAAGTGGGAGAAATCCATGATGTGGCTTCCATTATGTCATCAATCATGATAGGGTGGGACTTTATAGTAATACAGCTGTTTGAGGTCACCCCAGCTCCTATACATAACTCCTCATCCATGCTCTGTAATACAATCTAATGAACTCAATGGTCTTGTGACGTTGAACTTAAGTGGAATTGCACTTTGGTCTGTCATTGGTGCCTATTAGATGCTCAGACTACAAAGGGTCCAACAGTCAATGGTCATGTCCTCAGTGCTGAGGAGAAGACCCATCATCTGATGGTAACTTTAGATAGGTTCAACTCTAGGGTTACTTCTGTGCTATGGGATTTCCCCACCCCCACTGCAGGACCGAGAATTTCAAACCTTTGGTTGAGCAGAAAATCCAGTTTCTTCAGTTTATGTGGAATATAAAAACATCTCCAAACTGCCACTGAACGTGGGGAATGCACCAGCTCAGAACACAACTGTCCAAGTGCATGACAACCAGCAACCCTAAAGTTCACTAGCAGAGAGGCCTTTCCCAGTCAGCGCACCAGGGCCTTTCTTGGGACCTTTTATCCCAGTCATTAATCCTGGAGACAACACAGCTGTGGCTTCCAGGAAACAATAGACACCCTGATGTGGCCAGTGTTCTCAGAAAACAGTCATTTGAATAGATCACTGTTGTCTAAAATGCCAATTAGCAGCAAGAACAAAAAGTTAATCAACAAATTCTAGCACTTACAGCCTGCTCTGAATTTGCCTAAATGTTGATTAACTGCTGTTAATTTTGCACAGTAAAGGCCAAGCTATCATTTGTTTCCATCTCTTAAAAAAAAAGAGTCTAATCTCTAAATATTTGTGAAAAGCATTAATTTATAGCCAAGGAACTTCTTAGCTTGGTAGATATTTATCATTGTGAATATCAATGGTGTCTCCAAAAGGTCCAATAGTAATCCTTATTAATTGGAAAATCATATCTGGCTAGATACCAGAGGCTTATCATTTCCAGGAGTTGTTCCTGGATTACAAAGCTGGGGGAAGTTGGGTGGGCCTCGAACCCCCACCATGCTGTCAGATTACATCACATGTCTTGAAAGTACTCCTTGAAATAGACATTGGTTTTTGTGTTCCTGCCCATTTTCCTCATAGTAGGAACATGGCAGACTTTACAAGATGCCTACCTACCCTCTGTTCAGCTGAATTTGAATAATCAGAAAACACCTCTCCTTAAATTTTAACTCTTGGCAGATGAAAAAAAAATCCATACCAACTTGGAATTTTAGAGTAGGGTAAATGTCTAGCCACAAAGAAAGCAAGGAAAGAATTGGCAGATAAGGAAACAGCTTACACCCAGACAAGGTATGCTGTAGAAGGAGAAAGCTTTGAGTACAATAAACTATGAAACTTGCTTAGTAATTTTCCCTGCCTATCCCTTCCATTTTGGAGAAGTACTTCATAGTAACGGTGAGTTTCTTTGTGTGCAGTTTCTGAGATACGATTTGCACCATGTGGAGGAAGACCATCCAGATGGGCAGATGCATAATCCTGGGAAGCTGGCATGATTATCTACGCACATCATTTCCACTTTTGCATTCTTTGCCATGCTAATAGTTGCAATGTAAATAAGAACCATACAAATCAGGCAGTCCTGGCCAAAGACTCAGGTCACTGGCAGTAGGCTGCACCTCTCTGGTGTCCTGTTACAGCATTCCCTGTAATGGAGAATCCAGAGCCATGCTAATGAAAAATCCCTAATGGAAGACACCATTATTTTCTGGTCCATTATTACCATCCTTCTCTCCATGGTAACCAACACCCTTGTAGTAAAATTATTTTTTTCTAAGTTAGGTAGGAACAAATGATGTTTGCAAACAGAAATACACTGAAGAACAAGACCTGAGCTTCCACAGTAATTAATGTTGTGTTTCCTCTCAAAGGAATAAAGAACCAACAAGTTCACAAAACTCTGCGCCTCCTAAAGAAAAGGTTCAAAACACTGAATATGCTAGGAACCCAATACAGCAGAACCTGTGCTTGTAGGTATAGATTATAACAGAAAGCACACCAAGAAAGCCCCAGAGGCCACATTTTGAGAATCAGAAAGAATGTGAGTTAAATTAAAGGATGGAAAGGATTTGCTGTAATGAAATGTGAAAGACAACCTGCCAAATCAAATACATGTGACAGCTGCCAATTATGACCTGCTGTGAACATTACAAGACCATCTAGACACAGAAAAGCACCCTTCACGGTGGTGTTCCATCCCCACGACCCTAAAAATACTTGTCTGTTGCCCACCTGGTTAGCCCAAAGCCAAACATTGGTTTTTATTTGCAAAAGTTCTGAGCTATGTTTGGTTTATGTAATATGCCAGATTTACAAAGGACCGAAATAATATAATTAATAATAATATAAGTACAGGGGCAACTTGCATGGCAACAAGTTGGTATTTCTCATACTAATATAAAGTTAAATGCTTTCAAATGTTTCAACCAATTCTCATTCTGGGATTAGGAAGCCCTTCCTTAAATGTCTGTTTACTTACTTAAAATCTGTCTAAAAACCAAAAACTTCAGCTAGCACTTATTCAATGAACATAAAATAAAGAGGTTTACGGACTAGAGTTTTGTTTTGCGGAAAGACATAAAAACATCTTGAGAAGGTCAATGATAAAGGCTGCACGTGCAACCCTCAACCAGAAGCTGCCACACACTGCCACGCACTCGCAGGGTCAGGCGGGCCTGGCTTTGTGTGCGCGCGCATATTTACATGCGACCGTTGGTGACTCGGTTAGGGACTTGAGGCTAACAGACAGCCGGACAGCCCCAGCCCCGGTCCCTCTTACATTTATGCCCCCAGCCCAGGCGGACTTGTGCCCCCAGGGCTCAGGAGGCTGGCGGCAGAAGGCAGCGCATCCCCGCCTAAGGAACCCCACAGCCAGCTCTGCTCATCATACTGCTCCTCTCCCATAAAAACGGGAACCCCTAACTTCTTCAAAGATCACAGCTCAGATCCAGGTACCAGATGTGGCCTCTTACTGCGAGATTTAGCCAGCTCTAGTATCCTTTACAGCTGCTGCTCCTCCTGTTTTCCCACGATGATGACCTGTTCTTCATGATGTCATCAGCCTTCCCCCACGGATTCCTCTACAGGACTGAACCAAAGTTGACCAGAGTTGCTCCGCGGACTTCCAGTCTCTGGTTCTGAATCCAGGACCGGCTCTCAAACCAAACAGGACAGACGTGCCCTCAGGTGCGTCACTCGACCCTGTAAGATGAAGAGGGGGGAAAACCCTGTTGCATTCTGATGCTCTGGCCTTCGGAAAAGCCCTTTTAAGCTCACTCCCCCACCAGTAAGCCAGGCAGCTGGTGGCCAGAGAGATGCCTGGCCTCCCTGACTGTCCATTTCTGTGGTGTGCAAACATGAGACCAAGTCCTTGCCAGTACTCCCATAAACTTCCGGAAAGACTGCCCGTCGCTAGCAAGATCCTCGGTATCTGGAATGAGAGGGGTCGAGATGGATCCCTTCCCCTCCTCGGGCTTTGCCAAGGAGAATGGCATAAGTTTGAAAGGGTGCCCTGGGTCTTACCTGATTTCTGCCTGGCCCACTTACTGAATGTGGAATCGGAGGCCACCTGTGGTTCTCTCTGCCTTACCAAAAACACCTACTATGGTGTAAATGGAACCAGTAGATGAAACTACCCCAGAGCGGAGAGGAAGGAAGCAAGTGCTGCCTAACGGACTTGGCAGGCACCACACAGTACACTTGGTTGTATTTGTTCCATTAGAGTTCTTCGCTCCCTTCCCAACTTCTGATCTTCCTTCCTGGCCTATAGGCAGAAGGAAGCAACAGCTCTTACCCAGAGGCAAAGATGGGACTTCCCAGAAAGCCACCCGTGTTCCCGAACAGGCCCACCAACGAGAAGAGATTATCAGGAACCCTGCGGAGGGCAGGGCTGGGGGTCAGGCCACCCCTCTGCCCTAACCGCCTGTGTTGAAGGTTCTGCTCACAAACCTGATAATCACCAGTTCCAAGTTTGTAAGGATCGGAAGGTCCTGGACGGACCCAGCAGTGTGGCTCTGTTTTGGTTCTAGGAACTTGCATTGTCCGCGGATGCACTGCACTCACTACCAAGGAGACCAAGATCTGCGGCTCTGCTGGTCCTACCCACAGCCAGAGATGCTCTAGCCCTTAGTCCCAGCCCCTCCGTTCCAGTGCTGCCCACACAGATATCGTGGCCCTACCTTACCCTGGGCCAGCTGGCTACGACAGACTCTTCCGTCTCCAGATGCCAGGCCTTCAGCACTGCCCTCTGGTTTGGTAGAGAGCTCCTTCGGGGAAAGCAGATGGCCCGACAGGGATTAGAAACTAAGACTGCCCAGACACATCCCAAGTGCGGCCCTGGCTGCTTTGGGCCTGGCCCTATCTCAGCAGTGCCGTCTCCCTGGAGAGCTGGATACAGCCCTGTCCAGTGCCCCTACTCACTCCTTGAGCTCCACCTTCTCATACTTGACCTTCCAGGAAGTAGCCCTGGAGCCAAAACAGGGGATCACAGGTCACCGTGGAGACCCGCTGTGGTCCCACATCCTTCCTGGCTCTTGTCAGATGGCTTCTGTAGCTTCTCCATGCATAATGTAGAGCTGTTCGGTGTTTTTCAGGCAGGCGCAGTCTGCCGGACTCCTAGGGGGCCAGGGTCTGCTTTGCCGACTTGTTTTGAGAGGAGCTACCAGGTAAACAAGACCCCAGCAACATGGGGATGGTGCTTCTTCAACCCTAGCTCCAGGGGCATATTTAAATGCCACTTACAGGACATAGAGGACCGTGTTTGTCAGGGGAACACTAGAGACGAAGGGGGCCGCAAGGCAAAGGGGAGACCTTCCCTTTTCTCAGCCTCAGCAATGTTCCCACAGCTTCCAGGTGGGCAGGTATGAAGATCAAGAGAAATCAGATGGTGGGGAACCAAAGTATCATGGTGTCCAAAGGGAAGCAGACAAGGTGTGGACCAAAAATGCCAAGTGCAAAAGTATGCTTCGGGTCATTTCAGAAATTGTCAGAAATTCTGTCCTAATGCCTACCCCAAAGTCATTGAATGATTTTTTTTTTCCAAAAGGGCAACCATAAACTTTTATCTGCTCTGCTGTTCATTTGATCTGAACACGAATCTCTGATTAATGGACTGGGGCCACAGTCAGGCCCATTTGGCCAACATATATTTGAATGCTAGCTCCTTTCTCTTGGCCTTACCAAGAAATCCAGCATTAGCTTGTTCTAGCATTCCCAGCTCGCCCGCCTTCTCCTTGTACTATAGTTTCATTACCCCCAAGCTGAGCCTGTGAAGCTGTGACAGTCAGGACACTGTTAACTGCTTCTCAAAGTCAAGGAGACTGGGCTGTAGGTGGCCTTGCAGTCCATGGCGAACGAGGCTAGAACCCACTTCAGCAGGTATCCCAGCTGCTAATCACGTAAGCCTGGCTCTGCTTCTCAGGCCAGAGCAGACTGGCACTCTGAATCTCCTAAGTGATGAAGCCAAATGCCTGAAGACAATGGCCTATACCCAGAACAGTCATGAGGCTTCAAGACTCTAGCATTTAGTTCTTAGGAAAGCATCCTCTAGGGCTTGCTTTCTGATACATAAAACAGCTCTGTAGAATCCGTTGAAGGAAGGGTTCAGGATCTCGGGGTGCAGATGAGTTTGATGGGGTGCTTACCCGGCATGCAGGAGGCTCTGGGTTCGATCCTCAGCATTACTTAAACAGGGTGTAACAGTGCGTGCACACCTGTAAATCCTAGCACTCAGGAGGTAGGGGTATGAGGATCAGAAGTTTAAGGTCACCTCTGCTACATAGGAAATTTGAGGCCAGCCTGGAAAGTAGGAGACAGTGTCTTCAAAGTAAATAAAATAATGGATGAAACAGTTCTGGAGTGAAGACACATTTTTTTATTTCTCTTGTGCATGTGTATGTTCAGGTATGTGTGAGTATTGCATGTTTGTGCGTGTGTATGTTCAGGTATGTGTGAGTATGTGCACGTTTGTGCATGTGTATGTTCAGGTATGTGAGTATGTGCATGTTGGTGAGTACATGTATTGGGGTATATGTGGGTGGGCAGGTACACATGCTTGGAGAGGGAAGAGGACAACCATGAGTGTTTTTTACCTCAGGCCTCTCTCACTATTTGAGACAAGTTCTCTCTCATCCTGGACCTTGATCAGAAAGCCTAAGCCAGCTGACCTGGGAGCGTCTGGGTCCTCATCTGTGTCAGCCTCCCCCTCACCATCATTGAAATCCAACTTTTCTTTTTAACGTGGATTCTGAGGACCGACTTAGGTCTTCTTTCTTGCAAATGTAGGTGCTTTGCCAACTGAGCCATCTCCCTAGGGATTTAATGTTTTAAGATTTTATTTTTAATTATGTAGGTATGGGGGGGGGAGGGTGTATGAGCACGTTAGTGCAGGTCCTGAAGAGGCCAGAAGAGGGCATCGGATCCCCTGAGGCTGGAGTTACAAGTAACTGCAGGCCAACTGACCAGGGTGTTAGGAACCAAGCTCAGCAGGAGCAGTATGCACTCTTAAAAATTCTGAGGCCCCTCTCTGCCCACACCCACTAATGGCTTTTTAAGCAGGGCCTTTGAGAAAGCACCTCCCATTTTCGTATAACCCTCAAGTCTGATGTCTGAAGTGATACAAACAAGCCTGTCTGTTCCAGCTGTGCCGGTCTGAGGTGATTTCACTGACACAGGTGTAGTAACCTTCTCCAACTCCGGGAGCCAGAGCGGAAAGACCCTTAAAGGGCCCCTCAGTTCCATAGGTGACCGATGACATAGTAAACCGAGGACCACAGACCCTGTGGTGCAGTTCAGGACACCTTAACTTAAGAAAAAAAAAAAAAGAAAGAAAATACAGGCTTGGAAATGTCCACTGCATCTGCCAATTAGACAATAATTAACTTCAGTAAGAAAAGGTCTTGTGGGTGTGAGTGGATGTGCAGACAGTGCCACAGGCAGGTGTGGGTTCCCTTCAAGTGTGGAGGACCTGTTCTTTGTCACTCGACCCCCACTTAGGTTAGATGTGAGACAGCGGTAAACTCATTAATGGCTAAGCAAACATGAAATTTTTCTGCTAAATTTATTTCAAGTGGACAAGGCTGTTAAAATGATTTGATTCAGAAACATCTCCAAAAATCTGGTATATACACCCACTCGCCCTGAAGGCAGTTCACATCCTGAAAGAATTAGGGCCTCAGGTTCAAGGTAAGTGGTTAAGATATTATGAAGGCGGGTGTAGCAGATATTTAGAAACAAAGCCTTGAACTGAGGCTTGGGGGAGGGGCAGATCTGAGCCCACAGCATTGACCTACTGATGACCATGCTAGTTATGAACAATTTGGGAACAGTTCTCATTTGTCAGTAGGTATCTAGTTCTCATTCTCATAACACACTTCATATAACAACCGCAGGACTGCCAGATTCAAATTGAAAAATTAGTATGGAACTTATAATTTAGTAGTCAGTGTTTGACTTGGGACTGAAACGTTGGTACCAGTACTGTTTTTCTTCATTTTTCATTTTTATGCTGAATTAACATTTAACAACCATACATATTTACAGAGGACATTGCAATATTTCAGTATGGGTATATATACATACCCATCGCCTACAGTAATCAACATTTCTATCTTCTTGATGTTTTATGCTTGAAACTATAAGCTGTTCCCTTCTACTTCCTCATTAGACATATAATAGGCTATTATAAGGTAGAGTAGAGTCGCCTTCCTATGCTATGCTCAAACTGCAGAACCTGTCGCTGCTTTTTATTGTCCTTGGCCTCCTTTAACCAACCTCCATCTCTCTTCTCTTCCCACTGACTGTCCACTGGTGGCCACGATGCTATTGCCACCACCCCACTTTTTAATAACCTTCTCAGCATCCGTATACTCTAGACACCATGTGGTAGTTGTATGTGTCTGACTTATTTCCCATAACTTAGTAACCTCAAGTTCTAAGCATGTGGCTTCAAATATCAATTTCATTCTTCTTGAAGTTTTATTTATTTAATCATTTCTGGGACACAGTCTCACTGTATGGCCTTGACTGGTCTGTAACTAGCTATGTAAACCAGGCTAGCATTGAAGTCAACGACAGCTGCCTGCCTTTACCTCCAGAGTGTTGGGTGAATCGAGAAAGAGCTACCAATCTGTCAATCCTGTCCGTGTCCGGGCCGGGTGAGGTTTCCCGTGTCAAAGATGTGAGCTGGCCTTTCATTCTGTCGTGAATTTTTAATTGTTTTCTTTTCATACACATACACAGTGATTATGTTCACACTGATTAGGTTGCGGTTGTGTTCAGCCCTTCCCATTACCTTCTGTGACTCACTTCCCTTTCTTTTAGAACCCCTTCGTTTCCCCAATGGCCTCCCAGGGCCATGCCTGGCTTTTTATGTGGGAGCTGGGGATTCAAACTCAGATCCTCATGCTTACACGACAAGCTCTCTTACCCACTGAGACCTCGCCTCAGCCTCTTCTCGTTCTTCACGTTGTCTCTTCTCTCTGCTGTTTCCACCCCTGTGAGAATGTTTCTAGCTGCCCAGCCACTTAGGTCAGTGGTTCTCAACCTTCCCAATGCTGTGATCCTTTAATAGAGTCCCTCATGTTGTGGCGACCTCCAACCATAACATTATTTTCATTGCTACCTCATAACTGTAATTTCCCTACTATTATGAATCATAATGTAAATTATGTTAGAGGTAGAAGGTTGCCAAAGGAGTCAAGACCCACAGGTTGAGAACTGCTGGCTTAGTTAGTGATAGAAAAAATAATAAACTACCCTTTTATCTTAGAGATTATAGTTCACTATTGCTGGGAAAAAAAGAAATTTTATATATATTATTATATAAAATATGTCTCTGTCACATCCTGTTAAGTGTCACTGGAGAAGACTCAGAATGTGCCAGTTACCAGTCCCATGACAGTAGGGCAGGGATTAGATACCTCTATCTTCCCTAACAGCATCTTAGTTCACAACTTTGAGCTGTGGTCTCACGGCAATTTAAATTCTGTAAGTTCTCCTTAATGCACACCTTTAAAAATAAAACAAAAACAAAACAAAAACATTCATTGCAATTGACATGTGATTCATCCTTCTTTTGGCCAAAGCAAGAAAGACAGGATGAAAAGCAGCCACAACATTTAAACGAAGGTGTTATCAGTCATTCTTGTATATTACAGCTGCTCTAAGAGCCATGGGGCAGAGGCATTTATACGGAAGATAAGCTCATTGTGTTGAACAAATTAATGTGGGATTGTGAATTAAATGGCACGTCTTTGGACAGCTAATTAGCTTTGTGCTGCTCAATTAAGTTCCAAAAGGACATGTTGTGTTTCTTGATGGAATACAGAATATACTTCAAGGCTATTGCTGCCCAGATAACTTCAGTTCCAAACCCAGTGGAAATAAGCAAGCAAAAAGCCAGGACTCTGCAAACTCCAAACACTGCCAAAGAGCCCAGTGTTCAAACCATGCACAGCAAAACATTACATTTTATTTTCAGTCATATTTGCAATTTTTCCAGCCAATAAATATGAAATTACATTTTCACTATACTGTTCACACTGGGAGCCAATATTTTATGTGTGTGTGGTGTTTACACATGTGTGGGAGGGGTTGCACATACATGTGTGTAAGAAGCCAAAAGTCACCGGGTGTCTTCCTCCACCATGCACACATTATTTTAGATTGTGTGTGTGTGTGTTTGTGTCTGTGTGTGTGTGTGTCTGTCTGTCTGTCTGTCTGTCTGGTAGACAAAAAATATCTTCATTGCAGAATATTTGTACTTCTGTAGCAGACCTTTATCTTTAGCCAGAGACATCAATCAGACTTGGAAGTTTAGACACGCCAACAGACCAATCAGGAAGCTGTTTCCTGATTGAGGTTCAGCAGAGACTTCTCTTTGCCCTTCCAATCATGCGCTGTGATTGGTTGCTTCATCCACATAAAAGCTCAGTCCCACTTCCAAAGGAAGCACAATTGTAAAGAATAAAACATTCTCCTTATAAGAAGTCACAAAAGTACCATCATCATTGCCCTTCCTTCGTTCTACTATAATTCATGAAAATGATTTAAAACTTTGGACTTCACTGAATACTGCAAGATCCGGTCTGCAATTAGTTTTGTGTTTAAGGTTTCCTTCATCAGAGTAAATCATAATTCTTTGGAAGCGAAGTTAAACCTTGAGAAAAAAATGTATGAATCTGCAGGCTTCAATTTTGAAAAGAATTGATTTATAAGAGAAAGGAACATTCATACAATTTCCCAGGTAAAAAAAACACCCTAAATAAGCTTGAAGAGAGGAGAGAGGAAGCCGCTGTGAATTTCGAGTTCTCAGCACTCTACATGAATCATTATCACGGTGGAGTACTAGGAACTATTTGGGGTGCTCACACACATCAGCTCATGCCTTGAAAAAACAACTTTGTATGATCTAACCTACAGCAAAGTCTAGAAAAAAAAAAAACCATGAACCTATTCATGAAATGCATGTAACACCATTTTAAGTAACTGGAAGTTGGCAAGATGGCTGAGTGGTAAAGAAGCCTGCCACCAAGCCTGGCAATTTAAATTTGATACCATAGATCCACACAGTATAAAGAGAGAACACATTCCTGCAAATTGTTTTC